ATGTTGACTTTCCGACCTAGTTCTTTCTAACAGTCGTTTTCAAGACCTACTCGAGAGAAGGGTTTAAAAACGGCAGACAGCAGACAAATTGGGCTGTAGTTGCCGATGTCTCGAAAAATTTTCTTTTCGTAGAACATCATGGTCATGCTGCTCTTTTATTAAGTAGGAATTTTGAATTCTTGTAAGCACCGAGTCAGTGTGTTAATGAGAACTGGCCGAAGGCTCTTCAAATGTTCAGGTTTTATGCTACTCCGACCAAGTGTTATTCAATTCTTCACTGATAGAAACCGATGAAAAGGCATCTCATTCTTCTACAATTGAATTTGAAAAAAAACTGACGTAATCAGTACTAATTATGGTTGATTTCTGTTATTGTCTATCTGGAGGCCTTAACTGTTTCGTTTATGCGATCATCCTAGCGTGATGATTGGCGAGGATTCGGCAGGCGTTCAAATGCTTCTCCTAACATTTGCAATTTCTGTTATGTTACTGCTGTTGTTCTCACATCAGGAACCTGTTCTGTTGCCCTTCCGCAATGCTTTACAAATTGACGTGGTTTGGTGATCGCCAACGGCTCGTGTGGATCGACGTTGGCATGTTAGCCCGAATGTTTCAGGGTACAGGCATCTTTTGATGACTTCCAAGCTTTGGATTTTTTTATCACTAGCATGAAAAACGTTGAACTAGCCGTCGTTATTTTCAACCCTTGTTGTCGATCGGTACCGTCGCTAAAGCCAATTAGTCATGTGGATAAATCCCAAATTAGGGTGTTTTTGGGACTTTGTTTCATGAATTTTGCGGCTTTTTCTCCCTTTCCACGATCAATGCAATCTTTAGCGAAAGAGTGGATGGTCTGATGCCATATGGAATTTTGGAACAACAGCGACATCACTCAGGCAAAACCCTATTTACCACAAAGTGATTTATTTCGTAGTGGAACACTCCACTGTGATACTTCCAAGCCTAGCGTTAAGAGTGGTGTTCCTGGAATTGCGAGTTGTCTTGAATGGTGCCGCTCACCCTACTTGTTTCATTCTAATCCGTAGGTTCCAATGTGACGCATTTTAAACGTTGTTTCTGGTCCAATCTTAACATTTAAGTCACTACTGATAACCTTGAAGAATGCATGATCTTCTTTGTAGAACTTCTCCAATTTCACATAGAATAATTCAAATTCATCTTCGTCACTGCTTGATGTCTGTGCATAGGCGACGTCAATTGTCAAAACTGGTATTGGTCCTCATCTACTCATCCATAAAAGTCCGTTCCTGGTTGTTAGTTGTTCGAAGAAATCGATTTTTATTGCTAAACCCCTTTTCTAAGCGAGGAAGTTACCACTCACTTAATGCGAATTAAAAATGAGCAGTCCTATTATTCATTAGTCGGGCGAAGAGAGTGCCCGCCGTCTTGACAACATACTGGAAGAAAATTGTTCATTTGTTGAAGGTAGGAAAAATGACAACTATTAAGAGCGAATTCTGTAATCGTTTTGGTGTCTTCTTTCATTCTGAGCAAAATGGACATATACGGATATTTTAGACTTATGCATCCAAGTCGAAAAGCGTCTAACACGTCGAAACGCTTAAATTTTACCGACAGTTATGTTGTCGCAGACCTATGGCATATAAGAGCTCTAACGTTAGTGACTGCTATGGCAAAAAAATACAGATAAAAAGGAGGACAGATAAGTGCTATGGAACCGGCCATTGAAGGCGTGAGGGTAGGAATATTCTCTACCAGTCAGATAAAACAGTAAATCTGAAACACTAGTCGCATCGACAATCAAAGATCAGATATGCTGCCGTATATGCAAGTCATCGATAATCATTTAAGCCAAAAACACGGTGAGTCCCAACGACAGTCATTGAACACAAGACATTAGTGAATGTATCCTATTGAATATCATGAGCACAACAAGATGAACGTAGGCACGATGGTCAGACTATTTCAAGAACACAACTGGTGTTAAGAATCTAGTGATCTTTATTTCTCTTAAGCGAGTAAAGTCCACTTACAGCACTCTCACATGCTTGGTATGGAGAGAAAACGAGCGTCACTCGTTCTACTTGATGGTATCACCTGCATCACCTGTGGTCCCGTTGATGGTCGAGTTACACGAGCGTGCGCCAGTAAACCGTCCATTTTACACTATCGCTTGCAGGAGTACCCCAATAGATTTTGCTCGCTCTAAAGACTTGTTGAGCATGATACATTGATTCCAGGGTTTTCGTGAAGAACTCTGACCACCAGGTCGGTGGTCATCCGGCAGCACGTCTGACATCCAGACCCCAGTTACTAACGACCCTTGTCCATCGGTTGCCATTCAAACGCATTACGTGTTCGGCCCATCTTAAAAGCGCTGAAATCGATTCCACACGTTTGTTGTAGAGCACCTCCTACCACTGCACCACACGTGCCCAGCTCACCTTATATTCTACAATTTGTCATGTAGAACGGCAATTTCAGAACCTTTCCTTTATTTGTATGAAACAGGTTACTCCTACCATCCTCCTTTCTACTGCACGTGCAATAACGTTGAGTGGCCTTCTATCCAGCTCAAGCAGCGACTAGGTTTCTGGCTCATGCATTAAAGTAAGAAGAATCGCGGAGCCGAAAACGTGGGAACGGAGTCGGATGTTGTTTTATTCACTACGCCTTCAATACTCTTGAACGCTTAACAAGCCACTCGTTTTTCCTGCTCAACTTTGGAGCTGAGTCGCTCCTCATGCTGATTTTCCGACGTATATGGACATAACTGGAGCATTCGGAGGCATTCATTCCGCTGTGCATGAATAATGAGCGAACCCGTTCCTCAAAAAATTATCGAAATCGGCAAAAATTCGTCCTGCCTGGCTAATGTTTGGTGTTATAATAACGATATCATCAACAAAGCGAAGGTGGGGTAATTTCCAACCATCGATTTTCACTTTCATGTTGTCCCATCCTAGTGTTCGCATGACGTTCTGGAGGATGGCGGTAAATAATTTTGGAGAGATGGTATCGCCTTGCCTAACTCCTTTTTTGACGTCAATGTTAATATCTTTGTAGAATAGTGATATCTAGGCTGTGAAATTTTTGTACAGCTCACGAAGAATTTTTGTGTAATGAATAGGGACTCTTTGACTATCGAGGGTTTCCAAGACTGGTTCTATCTTAACTTAATCAAAGGCCTTCTGTAAATCGATGAAAGTGAGAGCGAGCGGTCTTTTGCGCTCTCGCGATACTTCAATGAGCCTTATTGTTGTGTGGATGTGGCCCATCGTACTAAATCCTTTTCGGAACCCTGCTTGCTCACATGGCTGTCCTTCGTCCAGTGTTACGTAAATCCTGTTTGTGATAACTCGAGTGATTAGTTATTAGGCCGCAGAAAATTAACAGAATGGGCGATAGAAGCCGATATCTGGCTTTCGAACTCTCAGATTTCATAGCGCTAACGTGAAGACGTTGAATGAGCCAATCGCATTTTTCGTCGATGTTATCGACAACAGCGTCTTCCCAACAGCCGACTATTGAATTGAATAAGTCCCAGTTTATGATGGTTTTCGGACTTCGTTTATTGAATTTAGCGGCTCTTTCTCCTTTCCGCGAGAAATGAATTCTTGCTCGAAGGAGGTGATGATCTGATCCCGTGTAGAATTCTGGGACAGCAGCGACATCGATTAGGTAAAATCTTCGATTTACTATTGTACAGTCTATCTCATTATGGTACTCTACATCGGGGGACTCCCAGATCCAGTGTTGAGAGTAGTGCTTCTCTAATCGCGGTTTACCACGAATAGTCTTGGTCGTCGTGATGAACCCAACAGCTTACCCCGCTCTTTCTATTCCAATCCGTGGGTCCCAATGTGACGCATCTTAAACGTTCTTGTGGGTCCAATCTTAGCGTTAAAATCTCTATTGATGGCCATGAAGGTTGTATGTAAACAACGAAGATCGCCAAAACTGGTATTGGTCCACATCTTTTCAATCGTAGAAGTCCGATTCGAGCTGTTAGTTTTTGGAATGATTCACCAAACCCGTGTTGACGAAAACGCCAACGCCGCCGAGTCCTCTGTTGTTGCATGTTCTGTTTAGCAGTTTTTCTCCAGTGTCATAGACGGCGTTAAATGGATGCCGTCTTGTCTCGACTACTCCGATGTCGTCGTACCTCATCCTTCTTGCTTGCATAATCTAGTCTCCTATCGAAGACTGAGGTGCAAGCATACGTGCATAGTAGGTACAGATCGTCACTTCAGTCGTTTGCGTTAGGAGGCTTACATTGGCTTTAAGATTTTAACAGTCTCTCCATACTTGTCCTACCCAACGCCGCCGACTCAGGGCTTTTTCGCGGTCGAGAGAATGAGACCCGTTTATTTTAATGCACTCAGATTTTTGGTACCCACGAATGGCTTGATGCCCTCTGAACGTGGGGCTGGATATACTTACCAGTACCAGAAGTTTTGCAACTCCCTTCCAAAGCAGACGGAAGCTTATTTGTAGAAAGCGACTCCTAGCCGTCTCCCATATGCTTTCCTGCTATTTGCATGTAGGTTTTGACAGGTTGACTAGTAGAATAAAATACGCATAGACGGAACACACCCACGCACACATACTTGAATATGCCCTCGTAAGTACAGAAGGATTATGCTAAATGGACGCAACAGAAACACGGACTCCATTCCCGGGTACACCTGCTTCTCAGGGAAGCAAAAGTCGCTTGTGCCCTCGATTAATTGCCAATGCGCCACCTGAAGACGCGTTACGTGGCCTCGCGACTTACCAGCGAGAGGTCCCTCTGTAAGAGAGATCAATAGTACTAGACGCTAAGTGGGAGAAAAATGATAGTGTTGTGAAGCAATACAATAAAAATTACCGTTAATAATAAAATGAGTAAATATTTCTCATGGAAGGAACTCCAATTCCTGTTAATTATTACGTAGTTTGTGTTGAGAACAGTAGCGCTAAAAGGGTATAATTTTTTTAAGTCAAGGTATAACTAATAATATTCTTCAAAAAAAGTAGACAAAAAGGGTATCATAACTAATCACCAATAAGTGATAAATTCTAGTAGTGCTCGTTACTGGAGCTTCTGGTTACGTCGCCCTTCACTGCGTACAGCAACTGCTCGCAGCAGGCTTCACTGTGCGAGGAACCGTTAGGGACAAAAACAATCAGAAAAAGGTCTGGAAAATAGAAGGAATGAATAAAGCAAATAAAACAAATATAAGACAATATTTAAAAACTTTTTCAAAACCGCAAAGTATTGTTTGATGGTTTACCTGTTCAAATCAGGAGAAATAGAAGATTTTTAGACACTTCCGCTGCAACGGCTAGCGGATGAGAATACAAATGGACACTTGGAACTCGTTGAGGCGGATTTATTGAATTCTCAGGATTGGCCCAGGTAAAGAACTCCAAGAAAAACAGTTATGGCTTGCAATAAAGGTTTCGTTGGTCTATGAAAGCCGAATATGCTAAAATCCCATTTATTTTGAGCGTGGATATATCAAATTTTTTGACTTCGACGAAAAAAGGAGTCATCACCGTGGTGAGGAAGAAAAATCTGATTGAACAAAAGCACTTTAATATTCACCATGATGTATTGAACATAATGTCGGTGGTTATTATTTGAAAGCAATAGAGTCGCGTTAGCTGAGTTTAGTCTATAGGAGTGTATAAAAGTGACATTAATAAAATAGGCGTTTTGAAACAATTAGTACGGGAACATCCGTTCGACACAAGGGTCTTCATAAACTCCAGTAACTTTCTTCAGTGCTAAAATAACTTTATTCTAAGTACGATTATAAACAGGGTTATGGATGGTTGTTCATTCGTTCTTCATGTGGCATCCCCATGGCCGATCGTAGCGGACGAGTCCACAGTTCAAACCGCAGTTGAGGGCACTATGAACGTACTGAGGACTGCAGCTACTATTTCATCTGTCAAAAAGGTGGTGATAACAAGTAGCTGCGCAGCTATCAATGGTATCTATTTTTCTATTTGAGTTTTGCAGATCTGCAGCTAGACATAACGTTTTCATCTGTTCACGTTGTTTCCTTTAAAAAAATCACTGGCAAGGTAACTATGTAGGCAGTACATTCCAGAAAGTAACACTAAGGGTAAAACCACGTAAGCTTCTATATAGGGTAGTAAAAAGCTAAAATTTTTACCATTAAGCTCTGCTTAGAGCTGTTTTTACAATGTTCTGCGAATTTGAGTCAATAACAATTCCCAGGGGTCGTTTCGGTAGTTGAATCTACGACATAATGAATTAGCCCTCGATATTAACCTTCAGATGGTCATCGCAGTGATTCAAAAGTGTTCGACGAAAGATGGTGGACAAATTTGGATAATCCGCGAGTTGAAAATTATGCTAGAAGTAAAACCATGTCTGAACTAGCGGCCTGGAAGTTCTGGAACACACTTGATCGTAAGTTCACTGTAACTACCATGTAGCTGTTCATCACGCAATTCTTATGGCTACAATGCGAGGTTCATCGTGACACACAGTTAAACCCTTTATCCAAAAAATTTAGAGACATCTGTAGAAAAACAACCAAATTCGGCGTGATTTTTACGATACCATCTAGAGACAAAATGATAATGGTTAGAATCAAAGGCCGATGTATTACATTTCAGTATCATTCACACATTGTTGGGAACTTGCTACCTTAGCTTAATGCGTCCCAATCCTTTTTGTTTCCTGCCAAATTCCTAAGCATACTGTGAAAGCTACTCGCTTTAGTGTCAATGCTCTTTTTCCACCCACCAGTGAGTGATTTACCCTAAAACTTAGCCGATGCTTCTTCGGATTGGTTGGTGTGCTCCGCTTAGACTCGTTGTAAATATGCTATACATAAAAAATTATTCATTTCAGACAATAATCGTTTCGCACTGACGGTCCTCAATCCAACCTTTATCGTCGGCCCGCTTCTTTCTAACGTTCGTCACGGCAGCGCCATCGTACGTGCAAATATAGCTTTAAACTCCCAGGTCCATTAACTTTTAACGAATTTTTTAGATCGTTGGTAGGTTTATGGACTATCGCACGTATTTAGCCTCACCTAAAGTTAGCGTGGGAATCGTTGACGTACGAGATGTTGCAAAAGCACATCTAGGTAAGTGTTTATTTACTCATGTCATAAGCATAAATCAGAAGATTTCATTTACAGCATTAATAAACTAATCCAAGATATCATTAAAGATCAATATGTGTTTAAATTGTTGGGCTTACTGACAAACTTTTGCTATTTGCTCTGTGCTAGGTAACATAATACCGACCGCTGCAGGTTGGATTATCCGTTGAAAAACAATTTATTATCAACGGTCTTCATCAACAGCAATAGTCCTGCACAGAAGATCACTTCCGGGTGCGCCTCACTCGAGCGGTGTTCCACTGAGGTGGAACCATCTTGATATGACAACGAAGACGCCACATCGAGAAAGCGAATAACTGTGGTCCATCCACTCGGATCATCTGCTCTGATGGAGACTAAGAAATCTAAACGTTGGCCGGATAGAGCTAATTGATTAGCCTCTTGTGAGCTCAACAATTTAAGCACATGCTGATTATTCTACTGCCGAAGTAAATTGAAGGTCGGTTTATGAAATAATGTTTTGTTATTCACTAACGTGCTCATTAAAGTTCGTGAAATAACAGATTTAAAACTCAAACGCTCATTGTTTCTACACCTGGAGCGCTATTGCTGACCTGATATGACACGAAACCAAATTGGTTTTAACCTTAAGGCCTTCCAACCGTTACCACCAAGCAAAGTATCACTTTGTTAACGAACATACGATGCCATAGCACTGAAATAACTACACGCAATCTCATGTTCGCCAGTGGCAAAGATGATAGATTTACTACTAATTCTCATCGCTAAAGCAACGACGAAGCTAAAGCTCTAAAAGCTCTCGCGCTGATCAATCCCCGAGGGATGCACCATGCATTCGACTTCATTAAGTATCGTTGGAGGTGAATGAATGCATAACTGGCCTTTACAATGACTCGCGGTGGCCCACCGATGCATCGAACTAGTGGTGCTATCCTCCCAGATAAGTGTGGTAGCAATTTGCCGACCCCGGAGCGATGGAAGGCCTGCTGGGCCATCAGCGCAGGGATCGATTTCACGTGTGCGTCACAGTGGCACCTACAACCCCCCAGCGCCCTTAAAATAAAGACAGTAATAAAAATTGTTTCCTTTCTTGTACCTCGCCTCTTGACAAGAGATTTCAAATGCAAAGTAAAAGTTTCGTAAACTGCTGCCTAAAGTGATAATGCGCTAAGGACTATATATGCGGGTGCTTACCTCCTGGCCTCCTCATAAACTCACGCCGATGATTTGACTTTCTCACAGCCAGTTTGTCACTTTGTCAGTGATATCAGAAGTCACCCGTCAACGGGAGTGATCTGAGGATCAATGTTAAACCCAGTTCAGCTTAAGCTGCTGTCGAAATCACAATGTGTCAATTTTTATTTATTACGTAATCTTTCTTCCTGACAGGTTGTTATGTCAAGCGGAACCACGAAAATGCAGAAATATAGTTGCCGACTGCACTTTTGAACTAAAAATTTAGCGGAGAGGAAGGCAAAGCAAGGGCCTCGGTTGGTGCAGTGAATAGCACATGAATCCACATGAATGGAATTTCTTCCAACAAGAACAAAGGCACATTTTTCAGCAGGGCGTGATGTTGTATTGTTTCCGTTGTTGGACTGTTGTGCATGCGATGAAAGTTAAAAAAGCAACCTGGAAGAGTTTTATGTGCTACATAACTTTAGAACATAGGGTGAATCCACTTCTACAACTCCTTGAGTGCTCTAGTTATTGGAAAATTATAGTAAGCAAGTCCAGTATCCGTCAGTATACGTTAAGAGAGACAGTGAGATTTGAATAAATGAAGAATGTTATCTTTAATATATTTTCGCAGTTTGTCTCGAAATTTTTTCAGAAGCGCTGAGAAGGCCTGAGTCCGATGGAGAACGAATTCTCGTCACAGCACGTTCCGTTTGGTTCGAAGAAATGGTGTATTGGCTACGAAAAGAGTTTGTTAGATTCGGTAAGACTTTTCTAAAAGAAACTATTATGTTTTTAACTGTTCCCATACTTTTAAAATTTTTCTGGTAATTTCTTCGCTTTATTAGTTAGCCAACAATGACCTCAGTATGAGAACGGTTTTCGCCCCCATCATACGTATCCATTAACTGAGTTTGGGACAGAAATGATATTTGTTCCTTCCACTTTAGTTCTATCATTAATCGCAAACAGATAAGCTGCTCTCAAAACCATTATCATTACCTCAAAAACTTCTAAGAACGATAATTACCTCAGCAGTGGTCTATTATAAGGTTCATCATGTAGTCTCATCTTGCATGATGACAAAGGTAAACAACTTTGGAACTGCTTCCACATTCTCCCAGTTATCTCGGACACATTAAGCGATGAGATGTCAACCTCTGTCAACGCGTGTCTCCCCAGATCAATCCCGCTGACGGGTGATTGCTGATGGCAAAAGATCGATAGAACTAGCTAAAAGACACGCGAAACGAAGGACCTGCACGGTGTGGTGGTGAAGGCGTTACTCCCCGGAAAGGACAATAGAGCGTTCGTTCCCCACTGCAGACACCTGCGGTCCGGAGTTTCGCAAATATCTCAGCATCATTAAAGTTATATTTCGCAATGTATATCTTGCCGTTGAAAATGAATAGGCAGTAAATAAAACAGTTAAGAATATGAGAGCTTGTTCTTGAAAAACGAAACATTTATCAGCCAAGGCGATGTCATCCCACTGTGATGTGTGCAGTTGGAAAAGTTAGTAACTATGGTAACAATCCTTTCTACTTCCATTCAGCAAAGACGATCTATTTTATTCCTTTATTTACGTACAAGTTGACGTTTCGGCTGATTTCGCCTACCTCGGAGCCCGGTAAGGTCAAGTTGATAGCAACCTATTCGGCCAAACACCTCCATAACCAAACAGAGAAAACGCTAAACCAAGATTTCAATCACATTGAACACAGCTCTGCACACTCACCGCTTCCTATGAGTCTTCCACTGAGTATGTCGTGTGAAGACCGACCGCAGAGAATTGACATGGAAGCGTAATGTGCCTCTCCCATCAAAATAACAGGTTTGTATACTGCCCAATATCACGCGTGATAGTGAGGCATTCTTCCCTGCTGTTCATTTTCGGAGTTCTGGAATTAATCCAGAACGCCTCGAGAGTTTTGCGCGCTTGTGTTCTTGATTCCTGCGCGAGGATCACTAAGGTAACAATCACTAACAAAAATGATAATGATAGTGACAGTAATCCTAGTAATTAACTGATATTATTTGTATTAGCTATTCTTCTCCGAAGTCCTTTAGTTGTTCCTTATCCTTTTTTTCCGATTTTCTTTAATTGTTTCAGGTTACAAGATATCACCTATAGTTGCTCCCAATTGGTTGGTGAAATTTTACGCACTATTGAAAGTCGACAAACACGTAGCAGCAATCATTCATAGAGTCGGCTCTGAAGTGAAATTTGATAATTCCAAGGTATTCTGCATTTTTAAAGCGCCAGAAATTCTATGCAAGAATTGGCGCCAAATCTAGTTCTAGCCAAAGGCTTGTTGAAATCGGGAGCAGAATCCTGAATTGCAATGACTAGGTGTCGCATTCATGGTGTGTCTTCCACGGCTTTCTTTGACACCTAACGATTTGTGGTGTCATAAATGACTGCATAGGGTGCGCAAAGATCTCACAAACACTCTATAACAGCTTCGTCTTATAAGTAATACGATTTTAGTCTCGAGAAATACTCGGAATATTGTATAGTGATCCACAATTGGCTCTTATCAAAATGATGCACGACATGATCAACTATGGCATGGTTAGAACGTCGACGAAGTACAAGAAATGGAAAGCGAAAGAAGAAAGGAGGCAAACAGACATGAACGCCACCAGCTAGCTTAAACGGCGATTTTTGCTTTACTGATTCACGTTGTTTCCTTTATTTTCTTGTGCTATACGTAGATGAATGCATACATGTTCCGTGTGGGCAAAAGGAAAGACTCCCTTTGTTTCTTCTTTTTGTGCAAATCTTCCCAGTAGGATGTGCCCACTCTAGGGATATTAGAGCCATCACACCTTCCTTATCTAATCATGCATTCATGTACAGTGTTCTTTGGTAACTCTGTTTATTAGCCACACCTTTGATGCATAACTCCGTGCGTAATGGATATTTTGAGGAACAGATATAAGCACTTGTACACACATGAGTTCCATAAAGGGCTAATTCAGAATCATAAAACGAGCGTCTTTATGACTTTCACTATTGTCGCTTTCGGCAGAAAATAAATGAACATAATTTTCCATAGTTTTTTAGACACGAAAATTGAATTGTTAGTGTATGTATCTTAGCTAGGAGTGATTTGTGAGTATAACGAGGTTTATAACAGTGAACCGATAATGCACAAGCCACGACCTGGTCAATGAGCAAAATCACCGTGCAAGTTTGTCACTCAATTGCTCCAGATAACCGTCATCACTTTTATAAATGCCATCCACAGTTCATTTCTTCCCGAAGAACTGCGACAGAAGAGACGACGACCTTGATTGTCCCGATCGCACTGGTTGTGCATTACTTCTCATTAGAGCGTTTAAAATGGCTAAATCATAAAGTAATCTGTCGATATAATGTTTCCTCAGCTTATTTGCAAACATATTATTCTATTACCGTCAATATTTTGAGTGTTTCCATTACCAAGCGGTGTGTTTAGGATGCCTTCTAACGGAGCCGCTGTAGTAGTGGTAGCACGACGAGTCACACCTGGGGGCATTCGTTTTCTCATGCAAATATAAATGGCATGAATGTCTCTGCTAATCCTTCTCACTTTAACGTACCGAATAGCTCCCATAAATTTATTTGACCCATATTGGGAGTTGAACTCTGTGACGATTGCTGAGATGGTCCGCCTGAAAATAAAACCCGATATTTGACATTTTTACAACGAGAAATCAGTGTGCGCTCTTAGTAAAAAAAACCTTTCAAAAATCATCAGTAATTGATTAGCTTTCATGGTACTCGAGCGAAATTTATCATTTTTGCCGTACACGCTCAAATTAGTACCAAAATATGGCCAACAAAGTGGTCAAACAAGAGAAAATGCTTCAACTAATTCAATTGCAACAGCTTCTTTTTAAGCACGTCTGTACATATTCAATGCTGAAATTATGTAAGCGAAAGCGTTCCGGGGTAGCCGGGCTAAAATTTGATCTTGCATGTTCAGCACAGAGAATCGCCTCCGTAAAATAAAGGACATTCTCCAACCCTTTATACACTTTCCTTTAACTACCTCTAATTTTTTTTCTAACTCCCACTACTTTTGCACTTGCTTCTCGGCTTGCTGGACAACCCTTGCAAAGTATTTGAATGTTGGAACTTGTACACTTGAAAACCCACTGTGTGACTATGCGCTCTATAATCTCTATTTACATAAACATCTGTGAAAACACTCTCTGGAGAAGATCTGGAGAAGAGCCCTGTCTACTCCAGTGCTACCTGCCTTGATTCCGTGTTCAGAATTCGCCATTAACCACTTTCCATGCCAAACTTTTCTTGCGCGATCACACAGTGTTTTCAATTGACTTGCATTTCTTTTAGGTTCTCCAAAAATCTATGTCATATTCCAACCTGTGTTTTCAAAGTGGCGTCTCAACTCTGAATAAACTTTGCTAATCGAAATAAACACAGGCGATTAAAACCTACACATTTTTGGCGAATGAGGAAAAGTTCACTTTTACTGGTTGCATATAAACTTTGAATTGTTAGAGTTATGAAGCTGTTGAACGCAGATGCAGCCTCGCCTTACTTTCTGAAGGATTTTTTGAGAGATGTTTGCGAAATGTTTTAAGAAGTGGTAACCCACCGCTGAGATGTCTGAGAAACATGGTGGATGAGGTAGAATTTCTTTAGCTTAGGTCGTTCATCTTCTGATGCATTGGTAGTGCTACGTGCGGCAACGTATAATCTTGGTGAAGCATCTTTCTCACTTTGTCACATTTTGGTGGAGTGCTCACTTCTCCACCAAAATGGTTTCACCCGGATTCAGTAAGCTGTAATGTGCTAAGCCAGCTGTAGACCACATAACGATCAGTATGACCCTTTTGGTGCAATTTTGACCCTGAGAAATGCCGCGGAGCTTTACCGCGGTGCAATCACTGAACCCATCCCTGCCTGTTATCATAGATGGATCTGTCGCAAGTCACAATACGGTCGAAGAACGGATCTGGTTGAGCGAAAGAAGCGTCAACGTTGCCTCCAAACCAAGGATTTCTTTGACTACCACTTCAATTTGTACAGCATTCTTCCCGATCTCTTCCGACTTTACAATTTCTTAGATGTTCCACTGCATTTGAAATTTTCTACATAGTTATTCTGCAAGTTTTCGACCACTTTTGCATACATATATACCGCCAAATCGCTCAACTCGTCTTCGTGAATAGCAGAAGTATGACGTTCGCAAACTTTCTCATTTTTAAGGTCATTTCCTAAGCGACAAAATTTTCCAAATCAACATTACACTGCCTATCCATTAACTCTTCTTCAGCGCAATATCTCACTAATGTTTTGAGCTGTTTGTGAAATATACCTCCTAGGTTAAATTCTTAAAAAAAATTTGCAAGATTTGCTTTTTTGACACCTAGGTTTCTAACCGTAGGACACCAGTGACACAGTGGTAGTGATGCCAATTATCACCAGCACGGTTCTGGTTCGACCACGACTTACATGGAAACTCGAACGGTCCGTCTTCACGGGCTGTGCGAACCCCAGCACATATGCCATTCGTTCCTTTCTCTAGTAATCGTAGTCCATTGTGGTGGTCTTGTTCCAGCATGGTAGCGCTTGTGAGTCTCATACCGTCGTCTGTAAAATAACTGCAACTGCGGGTACAGCTGATTAACTTTGTTTACGAACACGTCCGCCCAACGTGTAGGTGGTCGTCCAAGGAGCGTTTGCATTCTCCTGGAGTCCACTCTACTGTTCTTTTCGTCTATCTGTCGTCTGTTCTCATTATATGACCGACCCATCTATGTTTCGCTGTCGATGTATATTCTCCTGGATCTCGAACATGTGACAGATTTCTTATGTCAGAGCATCGCATTCCGGTTAGATATTGAGAGTGACGGTTATATTTCAGAAGACATCGCTCAAGCGCTCTGTGAGTAGTTGGAAGCATTCTTGACGTAGTTTAAGTATCAACTTACGTCTCTGCAGCATAACAGAGCGCTAGGAGGACCGTTGAATCAAAGAGATGAGCGCGGATTTTCAGGTACTTCAGTTGGTCGGTGGCCTCTTTGAGAGGCCAGAATGCGGCCCAAGCTCCTCTCCTTCTTCTATCTAGATCATTCTTCATGTTATTTTCCATGATCATTGATCGCCCAAGGTATACGTACGAGGTGGTCTCTGCAATGAGAGAGCCATCCAATTCAGTTTTTTCGCTTTCGCACCGCTGGTTTTTCATGAACTGGTTCTTCTTTCGTTTTATGCGAAGTCTGATCTTTTTCCTCGCCTCGTTGAGCTCGTCCACAATTGTTTTTGCTTTGCTAGTACTTTTTGGGAAAATGACAATGTATTCGGCAAAACTAAGGTTTGATAGGAATATTCCATCAATATGTATGCCTTTCTCATCCCAATCGAGTGACTTCATTAACCACTGCAGTGCGGCACTGAACAGCTTTGGCGATATTGTAACGCCCAGTCGAACCTCTTTTTCTATGGGTATTGTAAGAGGTCGATAGAAAGCTGTATTTTCGTAGTGCAGTTCCGATAACAGTCGGACAGAGTCCTTATGTAGGACGAGCCCACTCCTTGGTCGACGAGCGCTGATAGGATTGCATTCGTTTCGACACTGTCAAACGCTTTCTCATAGTCGACAAAGGTTAGGACTATGAGCAAGTGGTATTCCCGACAAACTTTGATGACTCTGGACACGGTTTGGACGTGGTCCATGCAGCAAAATTCTTTTCGAAATCCTGCCTGATCGACTGCTTCATCCAATGTCCGTAGTATGCGCGAGAGGATAATTTTCGTGAAGAGCTTGTAGAGTACACTTAACAAGCATATGGGGCAATAGTTACGAAGATCCCTTCGGTCTCCTTTCTTAGGCAGGATGACCGTGCACGACGTCCTCCACTGGCCTGGGATTTTTTTCCTTTTGAACGTGGCCTGTCATATGATTGCGAGAAGTACATGTAAATTGTGGCCTTCAGTTCTAAGGAAATCGGCAGTGATATTACCGGGTCCTGGAGCTGTGCCTTTTTTCATGCTTTCTACCGCAACTCGAATTTCCGATGGAAAAATTCCAAGTGGAATATAACTCATATATAATGCTGAGATATTTGCAAAACACCGGACCGCAGGTGTATGCGGTGGAAACGAACGAGAGCTATTGTCCTTTCCGGGGAGTAGCGCACTTCACCACCACACCATTCGGGTCCTTCGTTTCGCCCGTTTCTTAGCTAGTTCTACCTCAGTACTACCTAATACCAAGTGGCTTTTCTCCAGCGGTGATATTAGGGCCCGGGACGGGGATTGTGGAACGGAAAAGGTTGGTGTAAAACGTTTCCGCTATTAATTCCATACCATGGCGGAAAGTTTTGGCGATCCCATTTTCCAAGTCCGACTTTCTATTAGCCTCAGCATTGATTGAATAATTCTTTCTACTTCTGTTCAACAAACACGAGGTGCTATTTTATTTCTTTATTTACGTACAAGCTGACGTTTCGGCGGATTTCGCTTCCATCAGAGCCTGGAAAGCTCAAGTTGACAGCGATCTATTCGGCCAAACACCTCCATAACCAAACAGAGAAAACACTAAACCAAGACTTCAATCACATTTAACACTGCTCTGCACACTCACCGCTTTCTATGAGTCTTCCACTGAGTATGTCGCGTGAAAACCAATA